AATACGATTCATATTGTATATACAGTCAGATACCCTATATAAAAGCAATGAGGAAGCCATTCAACCAAGTATCACCACTTTCCAAACCAATTGAGGAAATCTTTTTATTTATAATTTATGTACACTTTGTTTTATTATACATAATTTATTCATTTATTTAGTTATTTTTTATTTGAATAAATGTTTTTTATTATTTCTTTATCTATTTTCGGAACTATAAGAATGTTTAACTCCGATTCCAAATCCCATCTATTGAAAGAGTAACTCTTTTCTCAATTAGCCTGTATAATTATTAAAGAACCTTGAAGTAAGCTCAACAGATTATATTTTTAAATAATACATTTTTTATATGTGAGGAGATATCTGTAGTAAAATTATTTATTAAATATTAATAGTCTAGCACATGAGAATAACTTAGCTTATATAGCTGCTTATGGAGTATATCTAGTCTGCAGTACAATAGTATCTTGTCTGCAATTATAGAGCATCTCTCCTCTTCTACTTACATTTCGATTTTAATATGCGAAGAGCGAGCCCTACGAATATCCCTTATAGATCTTTCTATAATAACATACTTTTCAAACAGACTTGTATCTCTCTGTATTTACCTCTCTATCATCTATCTGCCTATACTATTCTCTCTCTTATTTTTTGGTTAGTGCATTTTCGCTTCGGCTGCAGCCGACAGCCCAAAACCATTCTCTTTTATTGTGCCCTTTATTCGTTCACCTCATTCCCTTTGTCATTGTCATTGGTGTTGTGCTGCCGCTGCTATTGTTGTTGCTATTGGTGTTGTTGCTGCTGTTGCTGCAAATGTTGCGCATTGAACTTTTAATTAGCAAAAGTGACGTCTGCTCAAGCGAACAACCCCAGCAGAGCGAGAGCGACAGGCCCAATGCCCGCCTGAAAGGTAAGCCGTGTAAGGTGCCAGCTGTCGGTGGATGGGTTCCGATTCAACTCTGACACAAACCTCACGCCGCCCCTCGCCCAGCCTTCTCCACGTTCCACAAAACACAAATGACAACAAAATGAAATTCATTTCTATGCACAGATTGTTTGGACGGGCGGTTGGGCGGTCGTTTGGACAGGCGTGGCATTGCATAACATTGTGTTTGTTTATGTTTCGGGGCTTTTATGATGTCGTAGTCGTCGACAAGCTCATAAATTATGAACAATTAAAATGTTGTCCGGGAATTGCTTGAGGTCGGGCCAGAATTTCTGGGGCTACCTGCACGGTTAGTTCATCAAAAATGTTTGCATATGTGACAATCCAGAGGCAGGAGGCGGGACAGGAGACGGGCGGACGTGAGCTCAGACAATTGAAGCGTGCCACAGTGAAGCCAGGCATCCAGCTCCGGCTTTGCCTCACTTGTCATTTGTTCTCTATGATTTTACATCAGTTTTTAGTTTTCTGTCCGCACTTTATGTACATAAATAGTGAATAGCAAAAACAAACAAAAATTTCAAGTCCTAATCAAATCTATGTATAGTCCGTCATTTACGACGTCCGGAGATCCGGCACTTTAGTCAATACAGGATAGAGCGAATTTCAGTGCACACAGTGAACGTAAATACCCTGTAAAACCAGCAAAGCAAGTCCAGTCGGCTAAATGTCAGCCAGCTCTAAAGCTAAGCCCTCACTATTGGGCTCATACCCAAGAGCATTCGTAGAGTCTAAAACAGTGAGTAGCTCGAAGAGTTGCGATTTATAAATAACTAATAATTTATATTTTCATAAAGATTTTCATTATATTTTTGTTATATGTATATTTTGTATATATGTATATTTTATATAAAGGCAAAAAATATATATATTTTTTTATCACTAGTAAAATAAAGTAAAAAATTAAATAAAGAAATATGTAACTTCTAAAACATTAATTATATATTATAATAATATATACAAAATAAATGATCAAATTTATTTATATATATTATAATATATAATTAATGTTTTAGAAGTTACATATTTCTTTATTTAATTTTTTTACTTTATTTTTTTAGTGATAAAAATATATATATATTTCTTGCATTTATATAAAATATACATATATATATTTGTAAATATTTATTTATGAATTATTTAAAATTAAATGAAATTAAATTGCAGCAAATTTTTTATATATTGCTGGAAAAATATTTTGATAAATATATATATGATAAATTTTATTTTTAATTTTTTTTGCGAATTTCTTAACTTTAATATTTATATATATTTATATGGTACATGTATTTATATTTAACTTTTATATATTTATATATATTTTATATTTATTAATATATATATATTTTTTATATATTAAATATTTTTGTTTATATTTATATTGATAAAAACAGCCCAATATATAATTGTATTTCTATTATATTTGCTACAGCAATTATTATTATTATTATTATCATTTTTTTTTTATACATTTAACCCTCTTTCTTTGCACAGAATTATAACATGTGGAAGCCAGATTTTCCTGGTTGGTGTTACTATAATTCGATGCCAACTAACTCCAACGCTCAATTGACCCATACGCCCTATCCACAACCGCAGCAGGCATATATGCAAACTTATTCTTACATTCATCCAATGCAACAACCGCTGCCTCATTATGCACCCCAAGAAAATGGCCTGAGCCGAGCTCCGATACAGTCACAGGCTCTGGCTCAGGTGCAGGCCCAGGCGCAGAAACACGCCTGGCTAGCCTATCAGGCACAGCAATTGAAGCATCACAACTTCAGCTATTGGTATGGCTTGAACCAACAATTGGCCGGAAGAACCTATCATCAGAATGATGCACTCAAACAACAGCCAACAATAACTGTGGTGAGAAGCAAACTCTTCTACATCTCTGTGATAGTTCTTATATAACTCTTTCACCCTCTTCTATAGCTGGAAAGATCCACTCGATCGAGCTGCTCGCAACCTTATTCCAATGATACACGCTTGCCTGGCTGCGGTCCGGATCACAGCTTCTATTCGCAAATGAGCAGTGGAGGAAGTCTCAATCGCATCGATAGCATCTCCAGTTTTATGAATCAGCATGGCTTGCACATACGAAACTCTCAACAGGATATGCACACCTATCAACGCATTGCGGAACGCAGACTCAACTCGCCAGCGAATGATATTGAGCCCAATTACGAAGAAGAAGAACAACAACAATCTGAAGAGCACCTGAAAGATCAGACAATGGCTGAGCTTAAGCCACAGGCGAGCAAACTAATACAACCAACAAAATTAGCTAGCAAAGTGTCGCTGCAGAGCAAAGGGAACAGTTTTCTCAAAAAACTTGGACTGGTCAGGCAACGCAAAAACAAATCCATAGACTCATCTAAATCAGATTCGAATAAAACTCAAGAGTGCACTGCAATCAGCTCACAGAAACCGCGCAAGAAACCAAATCTCTTTAAACGCATCTTTGGCGGCATGCATTATCCTTCCACGGTGCAAGGAAATGCTCTGATCAAAAAGGAACAACACGAGGCATTCGAATTCGAGAAAATGCGCCCAATGCACTAAACAAACAAATAAACCACAAATAGTCTACTGTGAATGTAATTTTAGCTTGGAGTAAAAAGGAACAAAACAATGAAAATAATATATATAAAAAAATTTGTTACTTAACCAGATGAAAAAAAATAAATACAAAAACTAAAACAAACAAATATATTAGCAAAATTTGACTTGTTCTATTCCATTTGCTAATATAGCTTATACCAAAACAGATATTTATCTATATAAATTTAGCATATTTTGCCCATAGAGTACATGAATTTTCGTGAGTCTTATTGTTAATACTATGAGGATTTAGCAGAATCAGTTATTCCAGTTTTAGAATCAAGAACCAACTACTATTATAATATGTCTTTAAGATGAGGCCTACACTCTTTGAAATAAGTTTGACTTATCAAATTTGGAAGGTAAAGAGAGGCGAGATATTAGAGGGATCTGAAGAAATTTATTTTTGGGGCATTTGTGTTGAGCTTAAAAAGTCATTTATATCAATAATTATTTTTAAAAATAAATAAATTTAAAAAAAAATGGTACACAGGAATAAATATTTTAAGTTTTGTCTCTAGCTTTTCATAAGACGGTTGACACTAATATATATTGATTAATAAGCATTCTGATCAAGGTTTCTTCTGTCTGCTTTATATATTATATGAAACCCATTGTCTACAGAATTCTTATATGCAAAAGAGTTGAGTGTATTAATAAATCAATGATATGCATTCAACTTTAAAATTATGTCAAATATGCTGTCAATAAACGTATGTATGTATGAATTACAAATTTTCTATAGAAAACTCGCGCGTGAGAGCCCATGCTCACCTACATTTTCCTAGAAAGAATCGCCCAAATTCGAATCCATGCTGAGTTGACACCACTGATGATTAGCTAGCTATGTACCCACCACAGCCGATCAACCGATCAACCACTCAATGACAGCGGTTTTCATGCATGTCGCAAGCGTTAACGGCGCCTCATTAAACAGCCATCAACGCTTATTAATTTTGACATTTCGATGGTCATTTATCATTATCATCTAGCAACTAACAAGCCATCCCAGCGCCAGCAGCGACTCGTCAACAGCCACAGCCATAGCCACAGCCACAGTCGCACAGCATTTGCCAGCTAGACAAATTCCGAATTTTCGAAAAAGAGCGGAAAAAAGAAATCCACCAAAAATAATTGCGCAGTTAACACGCTAATCAGCTCGTTATCAACTCTTTGATTTGGAACTCTATGAAAAGCCATGCCCATATTTATGGGCTCATGAAGCCCGCACAAAACACTTTTGAAAAGTTTTCCTGCAGGTTTTCCCGCAGGTTTCAAATGGACTTAGCAACGAGGGTGGCACGAAGAATTGCAAGTAATTTAATGTTCAGTAAATTTGACTAAAATATTGTAAAAAT